AGCCCCTAAATCTCGCCCTTCATCACATTGACGTTGCATTCGCCCCCGCCTTGTCCTATTTTCTCTTTCTACTTCTCGCCATCCACCCGACAATCATGATGCCTCCCTGCCCGGGCTCCCTTCGAAGTCTTCCAGTCATTCGGGGTCTATCCATGGGGCCGTGGGAGTTCGAGGAGAGAAGGGGGGACCCCAGACGGGGCTAGGACGCGGACAAGTCCGTTCCAGAGCGTTCCGGAACGCTCTAAGAGCATTCCAGAAAGTTTTGAGAAGGCAGCGGCGCCCGAAGCGTCTTCCAGAGCAGCCGGATCTCAGAGATTCTCGATTTATCCTCACCCGAATTTTCCTTCGTCTTGGAGTTGCCCAGCGCTGATCCAAGAAATCCGTCCCCTATCGCGTGCGTTTATTTGCAGTTCCGCCAAGAGCACGCCTCCTCGCCATCCTGAGCGACGGCGCCTTCTCGCCCCCCTTTCGTTCACCGCGCGCGTAGCTGCCACCCCATCACAGACCCCGCGCACGACGACGGCCCGGGCCACCCTAGCGGCTAGCGATACGTCCGAGGTGGGGATTTATACGTAACCACCGCCTGGTGGATCAATCTTCGGGGACCTCGGCAGGCGGTGGATATGGTTACATTAGGCCCCCCCGGGGCAAAATGCATCCACATCCACCTCCCGCTGGGGTCACAAAACGTCGGTTCCACATGCAGTTTATATGTATATATCACCGCCTCGCAGTATATGGGCGCCCCAGCCGAGCGGACATGGGTTATAGTCCACAGTGGGCACACTACACAGGAGGTTGGCTTGCCGTCGGTTGCCCCACGAGAACGTCTTATCTCACAAACTCGGTCCGCAAAGCCTGTGGGGCACCTCACGATTGGCCATCTCTCGGACGTCCAGTCCCCGTGCACTGTCTGGTGTCGTGCGTGCTGCTTCTCAGGATGATCCAAGATTCTCCGAGATGGTTCATATGTTCTTGCGCTGGCACCCCCCGAGCGATACTATGACGAGGCGCCAAAACAACGAAGGCTGTGCCCCCTCAGAGTTCTCGTGGCAAGATTGCTACCTGTGTGCGACTACCTGGTCGGTGGTACCCCGCGCCGCGCCGCCGACGCACATCGGCGATGTGCGACGCGGTGCGGAGCCCGGGCGATTTGTTTCCCTCCGCCCCCCCTGCGCTCCGCCGATGCGATAGCCGAAGCCGTCGGCCGTCCAGCGCAGCCTTCCTTGGAGGTGAAGATGCATTGACAGCACGTTTCGGAGGTCTGGCGCGGACTCCGCGCTGGGCCCCGCGCGGAGTTTGCCAGCGCCGATCCGAGAAGTCTGCGCGGAGATCTGCGCGGGACTAACGACAGTTTATCAGAGTGAAGGGGCTGAACCGAGCGGTCATTCACTGTCCCTGGGTGCTTGGCTGAAGTGGAATTCCGAAATGCGGATTATCGTTGTTTTTGTTGTTGTTGGCGTTGTTGTTGTTGTTGTTGTTGTTGTTGGTGTTGTTGTTGTTGGCGTTGTTGTTGTTGTAGGTGTTGCTGCTGGTGCTGGTGTTGTTGTTGGTGGTGTTGTTGTTCGTTGTTGTTGTTGTTGTTGTTGTTGTTGTTGTTGGTGTTGGTGTTGGTGTTGGTGTTGGTGTTGGTGTTGTTAATGTTGTTGTTGTTGTTGGTGTGGTTGTTGTTTTTGTTGTTGTTGTTGTTGCTGTTGCTGTTGTTGTTGTTGTTGCTGCTGCTGCTGCTGGTGTTGCTGTTGTTGTTGCTGCTGCTGTTGTTGTTGGTGTTGGTGTTGGTGCTGTTGTTGTTGTTGCTGCTGCTGTTGTTGTTGTTGTTGCTGCTGCTGCTGCTGTTGTTGTTGTTGTTGTTGTTGTTGTTTGGTGTTTGGTGTTTGGTGTTTGGTGTTTGTTGTTTGTTGTTTGTTGTCTGTTGTTTATTGTGTGTTGTTTGTTGTTTGTTGTTGTCGTCGTCCCACCCGCGACCCGCCCCGCGACCCACCCGCGACCCACCCCGCGATCCACTCGCGATTTATGTGCGACCCACCCCGCGACCCACCCGCGATCCACCCCGCGACCCACCCGCGACCCACCCGCGACCCACCCCGCGACCCACCCCGCGACCCGCCCGCGACCCACCCCGCGACCCCCCCCGGCGATCCATCCGCGAGACCCACCCGCGACCCACCCGCGACCCATCCCGCGACCCACCCGCGACCCACCCGCGACCCACCCGCGACCCACCCCGCGACCCACCCAAAATTTTCGGCGCCTGCGGCGGGCTTCTTTTGCATGCGTTCCAGGTGGAGAACCTGCGACCCACCCGCGACCCAAACCGCGTTCAGTGTACAAATCAAAATGTTCGGCACCTGCGGCGGGCTGTTTTTGAATCTCTCCAGGTGGAGGTGGAGACCCCGCGACCCACCCGCGACCCACCGTCGACCCACCCGCGACCCACCTGCGACCCAACCCGCGACCCACCACCGACACTGTTTTAACCAAGAATCGGCGCCTGCGGCGGGCTCGTTGTATAGCTTGGAAATGTTGCGCCTGCGGCGGGCTTCTTCAGAGCCTCGCAGACTGCAGACGTCCCCGCCGCCCCCTCACTCTTCTCCGCAACTGCGGGGTGCTACGTATCATTTCATGTTTACGTCGCTCTGCCGTCGTTCTGCCTCTGACTACCGTGCTCGGGCCGACCTTGGGGGCTGCCCGGGTCGTACACCTGGCACGGGAGTCGAGAGCAGCCCTAACGCGTGAAGGGCACGCACTTGTGCTCTTCACGTCTGGCCTACGTCGTCGTGGAGCTCCTGAGCCGGACCTCCGGCGCCGCCTGAAGATCTGCGTGGTCTGAGAGCTCTCTGCCCGTTCCGCGGTCGTTCCCTCCCTCCCTCCGTTCGCCCCCCACTCTTCGCCGTCGTATCAGCGAGGGGGAGGAGGAGGAAGTGGAGGAGCTTCGGGCGCGACCCGCCTCGACTGTCTCCACGGGCCAAACAGCTCCACACGTCTGGGCTCGCCCCCGTGGAGGGGAGTTCTCCGTTGCGGGTGCCTCCGCGGGCCCTCGGGCTTCCGGCGGGAGGGTCTCCCTGACGCCCTTCGATCTGACTTTTTTGGTCCGCGGCCCCAGAGGCTCCGACCCCGTCTCCAGGAGTAGGTTTGGGCCTCTCGGGTCGATCTCACAGGGGACGTCTCGGGCGACTGGGGCCTGCGAAGTCCGAAGGCCGTGCGTGGAAGGCGGCGCGGTCTGTCACCGCACGTCGCCTGGCATCCTCCTGTCTGACTTTCTCTATCCGCGGTCCTGGAGGTCCCAACCCCTCCGCCAGGAGTCGGCTTGCGCCCCAGATCCTTTTTTGAAGGGTTCGGAGCCCGATATCGGGCCTCGGAGGCCGAAATCGAGAAAGCCCGCCAGGATTGAAAACAACATATCGTCGGAGATCTCGATTCGCGTTCTTGGCCCACGTCCTCGTGGCCATGTTTCGACTGAAGAGCGCGGGGGCAGGAGGCCGTCCTTCTGCAAGGGGAGCGGCGCGAGGCCCCCCCCGGAGGTCCTGGCGCCCTGGTCTTTCCGCGCTGGGCGTCTTCGCCCGGCTTCGGGCCCCAGGACCGTCGCAGATCGATCCCAGGGCTCCAATGGCGATTTGTGCACCATGTTTTTGTTTGCGTCGTAGGGTCTCATGGCCGTGGATGTGGCCGGTGCTCCTGCAAGACGCCGCGCGCGGCTCCGAAGCGCAAGGAGACCCTGGAAGACGTAGCCTGGCCCCTGGACTGCACAAAGTTTGCGGCCTCTGAAAGACGTACGGTCGGTAATGGTTGCTTAGCGTGCCGCGGCGGCGGCCCCGGCGAGACGCCATACCTTGCAAGCGACACTGTTAACCAGAAGTCCTCGACCGTATTCTGGCCTCGGGGCCCTCAAGCCGGCCCCAGGCCCAGACCCCTTCGCGTCGTGAAAAAACAATGCGGAATGTGTCTTCTGGGGCCCCTCGCCAGGCCTCTGGAACGTCAAAACACGACCCAGGATGAAAAACTCGTCCCATGGAATGGGTCGAGACCTCTGGCGGTCGACGTTATGAACAAATCATGAAGTCGCGGGTCTGGGGGAAAAGGGGTCGAGATCCTGGAGTTTCTGACGCCACGAGAGAGCTGCGACGGCGGAGGGTAGGCTCCATGGAAGAGAGGTTCCCCCAGGAAGGCGTCAGGACTGGGAGGCCCCCCGAAATGGGGCCAGGACGCCGTCAAACACCGCGGTCTTCGACGGTCGAACATCTCCGATCACTTCCCCTCCACCCTCACGGCCCTGGACCTCCGATATCGTGATCTGCTTACTCCGCTGGCCTGCTCGACCCATATCTTCAGAAGGGGAGAAAACACACAGACATATTTGATCGTTGCTTCCCAAGAAAATATGGGAAAATGTCGGAAGTGGGGGGGAGTTGAAAACCCAGGACGTATGGGGAAATCTTGGACTCCTTTGGATTTGTGATTATTTATTTGTGCGTACCTGGGCCCTTTTTGCCTTCTTCCAGACCAGGTTTCTCATTCTGCGTTCTTTCCTGAGGGCAGCACAAACCACCCTCACCCAGCAGCCAGGACCCCCACTCCCGACCTGGTGATCCAGGGGGTCCTGGCTGGTGGTGAGGGTGGTCCTGGTGCTCCCAAGAACCCTGAAGAACCAACCCCACTCCCAGCCAGGACCCACCGGATCACCAGGTCGGGAGTGTGTGGGGGGGGGGGGCTGTGCCCTGTGCCGTCCTGATTTCTTGATGGCCCGAGGGCCCGAAAACGCTCCAGGAATGCCGAAACCTACGGCAAACAATTGCATCGAACAGATCACGACGTCGGAGGGTTGGACCCTCCCGACGAGACTGGAGGCGTGTACCTCGGCATCGGTTGCCGTAATTACGCATCCTGGCTTTACGCTCGTCCTCCTCCTGCTCCTGCTCCTGCTGCTTCTCCTCCTCCTCCTCGTCCTCTTCCTCTTTCCTCCTCCTCCTCCTCCTTCTCCTCTCCCGCGGCAAATCCGGCTTAGGCGAAAAATTGAGGCACGCGTTTGCGGAACCCGTCCGCCAGAGGTGCGGTAAGGGACAGTTGCCAGGATGCCGAACGCGGAGAAGCTGGCGAAGAAGGCGGAGTACTTCGACAAGTTGGTCGACCTCTGCATCAACAGTAAGAATGGTGCCCTGCTCGTTGGGGTGGACCACGTGCGCTCGAAGCAGATGCAGGAGATCCGGATCGAGCTCCGGGGCAAGGCCGTGGTGCTGATGGGCAAGAACACGATGATTCGGAAGGCGCTGCTGCTCGGCGCAGAGAAGCACCCAGGCTGCGGGCTCGACCAGCTGAGGGCGAGCATCAACGGCAACATGGGCTTCATCTTCGCCACGAACTGCCAGCTGGACGACGTCCGCGAGACGCTGAAGAAGTACCGGCTGCCCGCGGCGGCGAAGGCCGGGCAGCTGGCCCAGGTGGACCTCTCGCTGCCCGCGGGCCCCACCGGCATGGACCCGTCCCAGACGGCCTTCTTCCAGGCCCTCAACATCGGCACCAAGATCGTGAAGGGGCAGATTGAGCTGGTCGCCGAGACGCCGGTGCTGAAGGCAGGCGAGAAGGTGTCCCCCGGAGGCGCGGTGCTCCTCGGCAAGCTCGGGGTGAAGCCTTTCGAGTACGGCATGGAGGCGTTCGGAAGTGGGCAGCTGTACAGATCCACCTCGCTCATCCCCATCCCCATACCCTCTATCTCCCAGGAAAAAAAGACCACAATCAGAGGAGGAGGAGGAGGAGGAGGAGGAGGAGGAGGAGGAGGAGGAGGAGGGGGCAGGGGGCAGGGGGCAGGAAGGAGCTGGACCCGTCTGGGCCTCCCAGATGGGGTCGGAGGATCCCGCCGCATCGCCGATGCATCGCCGATGCTCGATGCGGCTCGATGTGGAGCCCGATTCTCTCCACGCCAGCGTCGCCGATGCACCGGCGATGCGTCGGGGATGCGGCGTGATCCTCCGACCCAATCTACTCGGATCCCATCTGGGAGGCCTCTAACCCGCGCAGTCCATTGTTCGATCCGCAGGTGCAGCAGGTGTTCCAGGACGGCTCCACCTTCTCGGCGGCGGTGCTCGACGTGAAACCGGAGCAGCTCGTGGGCAAGTTCCTGGCCGGCCTCAACAATATGGCCGCGTTCAGCCGCGAGATCGGCATCCCGACAGAGGCCAGCCTGCCCCACGCGTTCGGGAACGCCTTCAGGAACGTCTGTGCGCTGTGCGCCGAGATCGACTTCACCTTCAAGGACATTAAGGGAAGAGCCAGCTGAGACAACGGTAGTTGGCCTTCGGGGGGCTCCCTTGTCGCCACGGCTGGGCGCAGCTTGGCACAGAAAGTTGGTGCGTGTGGTGCCCCAGGAGGGGTCCAGGGATCGATGTTGAGCTGCCGTTGTCTCAACTCGCCATGCTCTGAGTGCGCTGGTCCTGGCCGGATCGGTCCTGAGGCCTGGATCGGTGCACGTTGCCTCCGGGCTGAGCCAGGAGGGCGTAGACACCAGTTCTGGGTCTGGGACGGGTCTGATAGAGTCGGGATCCCGTTTCATGGGAGCGCCCGCAGTACACATCATTAAGCCAGGTCCCACTAAACTTGGACGGGGCTAGGACGAGGAGAAATTCGTTCCAGGGCGTTCCGGAACGCTCTCAAAGCGTTCCGGAACGCTCTGAGAAGGCTGCAGCGCCCGAGACTCCAGCAGTGCCAGATCTCAGAGATTCTCGAATTATCCTTACCCGATGTTACCCTTGCTCGACCTTCGTCTGAACGAGGCTAGCTGGGATCGGAGCGGGCCTCCCCCCAGGAGATGGAGCCTGTCAAGAAGTTCCTGGAGGACCCCGAGGCGTACGCTGCGGCGAATCCCGTGGCCGCAGCGCCGGCGGCGGGCGGCGGCGGGGGCGGCGAGAAGAAGGATCGGCTGCACGGAAGTGAGCCCAGCTGCCTCGATACGCCCCTTTTGATACGCAACACGCGCCGTGTTCAAAGCGTCCGTGTGAATACGTTGCGTGTTGGTCCAACGTCTCGGCCCACGTTTTGGAGAACGCATGGCGTCAGACCTACGCCTCCAGTCTAAATGTTGAGCTCCGTGTCGACACGCTACGGGTCGCGTGTTGCGTATCCCGGGGCAGCTCAGCAAGAGAGTGTTTTTAGCTTTCGGGGCCATAGCGCGCGGTACGCTCCCTTACCCTTCATCCCCCATACCCTGAGATCCTGGCGTCGCAATTTTTCCGAGCTGGGAGATTTTGTTTGTTTTCGGACCGCAGGACCCTCGCATATCGATCCGGCTCGCAAAAATGCCCGAAAAGGAAAGGGTCCTGGGCTCTGGTCGAATTTTTTCGCGTTGTTGCAATTTTTCTGCAACGTCAGATCTGGGGGTAACGCAACGCTCCCCTCCCCCCCCAGTGCGGCCCCGGCACTGCCGCAGCGCGTCCTGCACCACAGTCTGTCACGGTGGGGGCGGGGGCGTTACGTTATGGCTTTCCCTGCCGCTCCCCCCGACAACGCCCGTTATCGCCGCGGATAAAAAGCTGTTCTCCAAGACCTTGAGGCAGGATTCGGGCCACAGAACCCTCACGCCGCCACTGGCGTGGAAAGCGCCCACTATGCGTAAAGGCCAACGCAGGTTTATGTTGGACCCCCGCGTCCCCCGATGTCAGTGTTGAGAACGGGGTTACCTTGGCGGTACAGATCTGGGCGTTTTTTTATGCCGATGCTTGCACCCCGGCAGCTGCCGCGAACGCAACATTGAAATGGGGGGCCCGGGGGCGGGCCACCTTGAAGCGTCGTTTGTAGATGGGCGTCTTACACGCCAACAGCGGTAGGTCGACCCCGTCTCGAAGAATGACAGGGTCCAGGGCTCCAGTGGTGATTTGCTATACGATGTTGTAAGGGTGAGGGATTCAAAGTCCCTGGGTGCGCGGTTGAAGTGGGGTTCCGCGGTGCGGATTGTTCATTTCTGAGTTGTCAAAAATGATTATTGTTGATCCCCGCAACCAGTGCACACTGTCTTTTCACTTGAAGTGACCCCGTCGGGAGTCGCATCCGTTGTTTTCAGGGAATGTATTCTTGCTCAAACTGCGTTGTTGCCCGTCTGGCTACAACAACAACGGATCCCGTCTTATTTTTCTTCGAATTATTCCAAAATCGCGCTCTCGCGCAAGACATCCCCACAAAGTATGCAGGAATCACGCTCTCGCGCTTAACTTCTTCGCAATTCATTCAGACGCCCCGTCCTCCACACTCATCGCGCTATCGCTCGAGACGTCCTCGCGATTCACGCAGGCCTTACACTTCAGCAGCCCGCCTGCTGGACTGCCCGCCTGGGCCCGCTTTCCCGACCCGCCCGATAGGGTCTGCCCGCCCGATCTGCCCGTCTGGTTCTGCCACGTGGTTTCTGTTCCTAGCCTTCCTCCTGCTACTCTCTCTCGTGCTCCAGCTCTTCCCTCCCCCTTGTTCTTTCCTTGCATCCGTCCTCTCTCCCCTGCCCTATGGGCTGCACGAAATACACGTTCCAGGTAAGAGAGATATGCACCTAAGCGGACACGATCGAAGACGAAGAGGACGGGTACCGAGGGTTTGGGATACACGTGTTGAATGGCCCACGAGCAGACATGAGCGAACAATCTGAACAATCTGAACATGCCCTTTCCCCTAAACATAGCAAAAAAACAGGTGCGAGCCCCAGGTGGCGAACTTCAATTGAACAACACAATGATCACCAGGCAGGGGGGGTTCAACAATATTTAGCATTTAGAATTGATAATTCGACAATAGCAACAGCAGCAGCAACAACAACATCAACAACACCAACAGCAGTCATACGTTTGAGATTGATCGCTCCTACCCGCCTGCGTGCCATGCAACACGTAATTCCACAACCCTCGGTACACGCCCGCCATGAATCACGGTTTCGCTTTAGTGTTCCATGCGATTTATTGGGGATTCGCGCTGTCGGTCGAGACGCCCTCGCGATTCACGCAGGCATTACGCTTCAGCAGCCCGCCTGTTCGACCTGGCCGATTGGGCCCGACTTCCCGACCCGCCCGCTAGGGTCTGCCCGCCCGATCTGGCCTTCTGGTTCTGCCACGTGTGTTTTGCGCCTAGCCTTTCTCCTGTTAGGTGTTCGTGCTCCATCCTTCTGCCTCCCCCTTCCATCGATCCTCTCTTCCCCTGTTTTGGGGGCTGTGCTACATGCGCGTAGCAGGTACGGGAGATAGACCGTCAAGGAGGTACAATCGAAGATGGATAGGGCGTGTACCGAAGGTTGTGGATGTACGTGTTGTGTCTCGCGAGCAGGTAGGAACGACCAGTCGTACACTTATGATTGCTGTTGGTGTTGTTGGTTGTGTTGTGTTTGCTGCTGCTGGTGTTGTTGCTATTGTCGAGCTCTCCTGTCTTGTGATCATTGCGTTGTCCATTTGAAGTGAGCCCCCCGGGGCTCGCATTTTTTTTTTTTTTTTTTTTTTTTTTAAAAAGGACAGCGTGGGCTCGCCAAATTTTGCCCTTGGCCCCCCAGTTCACAACAACAGCAACAACAACAACATCAACAAACATGTTAAGACTGTTTGCTCTTATCTGCTCGCGTACCGTTCAACACGTGAATCCCAAACCCTCGATACCCGCCCTCTTCGTCTTCGATCGTGCTCCCTTACATTTTTCTTGTTTGAAACGTGTCTTTCGTGCAACCCTCAAAGCAGGGGGAGGGAGGACGGATGGAAGGACAGAGCCACGGAAAGGGAGGAGCTGGAGCACGAGAGAGAGAGTAGCAGGAGGAAGGCTAGGGGCTAGGAGCAAAAACCACGTGGCAGAACCAGACGGGCAGATCCGGCGGGCAGACCCTATCGGGCGGGTCGGGAAAGCGGGCCCGGCCAGGTCGAGCTGGTTGGTTGCTGAAGCGTGCGTCCTGCGTGAATCGCGAGGAAGTCTCGAGCGACAAGTGCGATTCCCAAATAAATCGTGGGGAAATCACCAGCGAGAGCATGATTCCTGAGTGTCGAGGGCGCGGCGTCTGAATAAATTGCGAGGGAGTCAGACGCGGGAGCGCGATTCCTGCATACACTGTGAGGAAGTCCCGCGTGAGAGCGCGATTTGGGATTCAATTGTGAGGAAGTATCAGGCGGGAGCCGTTGTTGAACTCTCATTCTTGAACAATAATTATTGTTGATCCCCCCCACCGGTGCACATTGATTTTTTCAATTGAAGTGCCCCCCCCCGGGGCTCGCATTTTGTTTTTTGTAAAGGAAAGTCTTCCTGCTCAAACTGGCCCCCTGGCCCCCGGGTTACAACAACAGCGGCTCCCGCTTGTTCCTCGCAATTTAGCCAGGACCCCCGCTCCCGCCCGAGACTTCCTCGCATTTTATTCAAGAATCGCGCTCTCGCTTGGGACTTCCTTACGAATTATTTCGAATCGCTCCTCTTGCGCTCTGGAGTCGCGCTCTCGCTGGAGACTTGCTTGCAATCTACTGAAGAATAGCGCCTTTGCGTTGGAATTTCTTGCAATTTACTACAGCGCCGCGCTCCCGACACCCAGGCACCCAGGAGTCGCGCTCACGCTTAGGACTCCTTCACAGATTACCTAGGAATCTGGATCTCGCTGCCCTTCGTGGCCCCGTGGCAGCCCTTCGTGGCCCCCTCGCTTTGTTTCATGGCCCCGTTGCAGCCCTTCGTGGCCCCTTCGCTTTGTTTCATGGCCCCGTTGCAGCCCCTCCTGGCCTCCTCGTTGCCCTTCGTGGCCCCGTTGCAGCCCTTCGTGGCCCCCTCGCTTTGCTTCGTGGCCCCGTTGCAGCCCTTCGTGGCCCCCTCGCTGCCTTTCGTGGCCCCGTTGCGGCCCTTCGTGGCCCCCTCGCTGCCCTTCGTGGCCCCCTCGCTGCCCTTCGTGGCCCCTTCGCTTTGTTTCGTGGCCCCATATATGTATGCCCTTCGTGGCCCCCGCTCGTTCGCGCCCGTGGTGGCCCCATATGCATCTTTGTGGCCCCGCTGTCGCCCTTCGTGGCCCCCTCGCTGCCCTTCGTGTCCCCGTTGCTGCCCTCAGTGGCCCCGTCCTTGCCCTCCGCGGCCCAACATACGTATGCCCTTCGTGGCCCCCGCTCGTTCGCGCCCGTTGTGGCCCCATGTGCATGTCCTTCGTGGCCCCGCTGTCGCCGTCTGTGGCCCCCTCATTGTCCTACGCGGCCCAGGTGCTACCCTCAGTGGCCCCATCGTTGCCTTCTGTGGCCCCGCATTATCTGCCCTTCGTGGCCCACGCTCGTTCGCGCTCTTCGTGGCCCCATACGCATTCCCTTCGTGTCCCCGCTGTCGCCCTTCGTGGCCTACTTCGTGTCCTTCGTGGCTCTGCTGTCGTTCTCTCTCGCTCTCGCTTTCGCTCGTCGTCGTCGTCGCCGTCGCCGTCGTTGCCGTCGTCGTCGACGTCGTCGTCGTCGTCGTCGTCGTGGTCGGTCCCCTGTCCGTCCCTCTTGGGGTCGGGTCGACGGTCCGCGGCCGCCCCGCCGATCAGCGCTGCCGCTGGCCAGGCCGACGGTCCGCGGCCGCCCCGCCGCTTGCCAGGGCCCTGCCTGCAGGGAAGAAAGGCACACCCCCCAAAAAGGGTGGGATCGAAGACGAAAAGGGCGGGTATCGGGGGTTTGGGAACTTCGCGTTATCCGACACTCGAGCAGATAAGGGCGACCAGTCTTAAAATGATTGTTGTTGTTGTAGTTCGGGGCCAGCAACACAGTTGTGCGACTTTCTGTTTCTAAAGAGCAAGGTGCGAGCCCCAGGAGGAACATTTTCATTGCAAGTGCAACGGTTACCGGGGAGGGGGTCAACAACAATTAAAAGCAATAGCAGCAACAGCAACAACCATACTTCTAGGGCTGTTCGTTCATTTCTGCTCGCGTGCTATTCAACACGTATATCCCAAACCCGACTTGTAGCGCGTATTTCGTGCAGCCCTGAAAGCAGGGGAAGCGAGGACGGATGGAAGCAAAGGACAAGGGGCACGCGGGTGGCTGAAGTGTGCGTCCTGCATGAATCGCGAGGGAGGCTCGAGCGATAGCAGTATTCCCCATTATTCGGCGCAGAAATCCGCAGCGATAGCGTGACTCCTGAGTGTCGAGGACGCGGCGTCTGAATCAATAGCGAGGAAGTCACACGCGAGAGCGCGATCCCTATATACATTGCCAGGAGGTCCCGCGAGAGAGTGCGCTTTGGAAAACGTATCCGGCGGGAGCCGTTGTTGTTGTAAATCCGGGGCCAAGGGCCAAGTTAGTTGACCCCTCATTTTCCCTTGTAGCAGAAGACAGGGTGCAAGCCCTGGGAGAAGCACTTTGATTGAAAGGCGCAACATTGTTATTGAAGGGGGGATCGACAATAATTTCTTTCGAGGCGGGCACGTCAATTCAAAAACTCAATGTGCTCCGGAATTGGCATCAACAAAATCATTGTTCAATAATGAGTATTCAGCAACGGTTCCCGTTTCATATTTTTCGCAGTTTTCTAAAAACGCGTTCTTGCGTTGATTGTTCTCCCGCTAGGAATCGCCCTCTCGCTTGGGGCTTCGTCGATGGACTCAGGAATCACGCTCTCGCTGTGGATTTCCTAACGATTTATTTGGGAACCGCACTGTCGCTCAAAACTCTCTTCATGATGGATGGGCGCTTCAACGACCCGGCCGCTCGACCTGGCCGTCTTGGACACGCCCGCCCGACCTGCCCGTTAGGGTCCGCCCGCCCGACCCGCCCGTTTGGTTTTTCCGCTTGCGTTTCTGCTCCCAACCCTCTCTTGCAAATCTCTCTCGTGCTCCATCCTTCTCTCTCCCCCAAACTGCCCGCGGCATGTAGGAAAGATATACCCCCAAGGGGGTACAGAAGACGAAGACGGTGGAGGTCGAGGGTTGGGGATACACGTGCTGAGTGGCACGCGAGCAGATGAGAGCGAGCAGTCTTAAAGAAATTGTTGTTGTCGTCGTCCCACTCGCGACCCGGCCCGCGTCCAGCCCGCGACCCGCCCGCGACCTACCCGCGACCCACCCGCGACCCACCCATGACCCACCTGCCACCCACCTGCGACCCATCCGTGACCCACCTGCGACCCACCCGCGACCCACCCCGCGACCCACCCGCCACCCACCCGCCACCCACCCCGCGCCCGCCCCCTCATTCTTATCCATCTGGGTTGCCACATTTTTCGCTACGTCGGATCTCGGGGAATGTCCGTTCGCTGGATTGACCCTTGGTGCGCGGCTTTCGGGGGCCCAGGGTGGGGCCAATACGTGTCGCATCGCGTGCAGCGATCCGAAGGCCGCACACCAGTGCCACCCTTGCTCAGCCCAGACCTCAGACGCCGCTGGGAGGTATGCATCCCTTCCCCGGGACCAGTTCTTCATCCCGAGCCGTTTTGACCGTCCCGCGGCCATGGAATAGCCGCCGAGAGTCCGAAGCAGTCGAACGCAAGCTCCCGTCGCGCTGGCCTCCTCTTGCGGCGCGAGGAGGCCTGGGAGGCTCGCTCTCGTGTGCCGCCGACAGGAGGAGAAGAAGGCCGCGGCCGTGGAGGAGGAGGAGGAGGAGGACGTGGACTTCGACCTCTTCGGCTGAGCGCACCGCGGCGGCGGCGAGGGCGCGGGGGGCGGTCCGCCTGCCCCGGGCGGCGCGCCCTGCGGGCCCGAGGGGCCAGAGGGGAGCTGCCGCACATGCATTGCTGGCGGCCTCGAGCATTCCTCCGCCGCCTCCCCGCGTGCCTCCCCAGGCCTCGAGTGGTGACGTACCCCAGGAGTGATTTCTCCGCCGAAGGATCGGGAAACGGGAAATACGTCGAATGCTCCGTATCCCTACTGAGCATTCCATGTGCTTGCCGCAAATTCGACGGAACATCGAGTCTGGGGTAAATCAATTCTGTAGCCGATCCCCTCCCTGACGTCGGGTCCGCCGTGCCTTTATTCTAGGCGATGCCGTGAGCAGTTGGGGCGGGGCTGTCGGCCCCACTTTTTGTTCCGAGCTCATTTGCGGTCGATGCCCGCCTTGTGTGTTGCTGCCGCTGTCTCCGCCATGCCATGGCGGAGGCCTTCCTTGAGGCGGAGGATTCCGCCCCACAGTCGAGCAACTGATCAAGAAGCTTCCTGCCGAAGAGACGGGCTGGCGTCTCTGAACCAGCTTGCCGGAAAGTTGGCCCACATTCTTGAGCTCCTTCGCCTTCCCATCATCAACAACGGAATTTGGCCCAGGTGTTGTTTGAGACATTATCTTCGAAGTTGGGCCAGGGTTCTTGACCATTTTTGTCGCCTGTACTTTTCCGCATCAATTGAGCGCCGCAGAACAGGGGATCGTTCGCTCCGACATTCGCGCGTAAGCTGCTTGCTTGCCTTCGTCTCCAACGTAGCGTGCCGCGCTGGCGGCCCGCGTAAGCCGCCGCGTAAGGTCGCTGTGTCATCTCGCGCAAGACTCCTTGTATGATCGTCCCCCACTTGACAACGGAGCGACGCAAAACAACGAGGTCGATTGCGCCGACCTTCGCGCGCACGCTGCCCGCGCAAGGTCGCGCGTAAGCGCCCTCGTTTTCAGTGTAGCGTGCCACGCCGTCGGCCGGCGTAAGCGGCGGCGTAAGGTCGCATATGTCTTCTTGCTGTCGCACCCGTCTCGCCTCGTCGCTCGACTTCCGGGCGAAAATGAACCAAAGCACAGCGGATCCGAAGTCAGGGCTCCCTCGGCGCTCTCGGCCTGGATATCCCCGGTAGCGCGGCTCTCGTCTCGCGGCGCGCTATCCTTCCGCCGCGGCCCCGGGGGGGCGGGACCACGGCCCTGCCTGAGCTTGGCGCGTGCCCCGATCTTTGGCGATATGGATTTGGGCAGCCAGGCGTTTCTCCTCGCTTCCTGCCTCCAGGGCCCCTTCACATCGGGCCCCGGGCCCCAAGAGGTCGGGAGTTCAGGGGTCGCGGATTGAAGAATCATGTCGGAGAATGCTTGGGGAGAACCCACACCTGGCCGGGTCGATCAGCTAATTGCCCTGCCTCGGCTGGTCTGCATTGTTGTGCATCGCTGTGCCTTGACAAGCATTGCGATGCAGTGATTACCTGTCTTTGCTGTGCGTTGCGTCTCTCTGCGCTGCATGACTCTTGCTCTGCACTGCTCTGGATTTGTGTTGAATCGATGGGTATTAATTTCACAATTGTTTTGCATGGTGTTGCATTTTGTTGTTTTAATTCCAACTGCTTTGCGATGCGTTACCTCGAATTGCACTGCTTTGTAATATTGGCAACTCATCTTGGAGGGTCGGGATGGGCTCATCACGCGACGACGTTGCATCAACCCAACCATTCTAGGGTGTGGAAATTTTGAGGCACGCGGATGCCCACTGTCAGTCCACCTCGATTCATGGGCGAGCTTGGGGACTCCATTGCGCACAGCTGGTTTGCTAACGCTGGCCTTGATACCCCTTCCGACCCATCGCTTCTGGGGGGTGGGGGGGCGTCGGACGGACGGGCGGAATACCAAACGCGTTGGCAGTGCAAGGGTGTGCGATCGGTTATTTAATCGCTTCGTTCATTCCGCCGGCCCTGGAGCGCTATTTGGGGCCTCTCGGGGCCGTCTTGGGGGCCTCTTGGGGGCTTCTTGGGAGCGTTGTGGGGCTCCTTGGCGGCGTCCTGGGCTCCCCTGGGGCCTCTTAGGGGGCTCTTGGGGGCCCCTTGGGTCGGGAGGGGGAGTAGTCGATTGCAGCCACCCCCTCGGAGGCCACGATCCTCGTGAGGGGTGGCGAAAAATAGCTTCCCCACTGGGGATCGCCCGGGACCCGGCCGGGGGTCAGCCGGGGTACTGTTCGTCCGGGGGCCCCCAGGTGCCGCCCCGCGCGCGCGAACTAGAAATATTGTTAAGTAGTTACCGGGGATCTTAGCACGCGTCTGGCCCGTTGGGCCGGCGAATTGTATTTGGATATGAAAAGGTGCCCGTACCAACATCTTTCCATCTTTTTCGACGTTTTAGGCCTCCTGCGAGCCCTCGTCGCCACCGCTGGATTCGCCTCGAAATCCTGGTCTGAACGCACCCCTGGAGAGGTCCTGGGAGCAGCGGTATCGGTACCTTTTGGTTTGCTTATGTTCGTTCCATATGTGTTCGTCTGCAGCAGTGGAGGTCTCAGTACGCATGTCGCCAAAGACCCGTGCTGCATGCCTGACCATCTCAGGTGCGTGTTCCTTGTGGGGGGCTGCCGGTACGGCGCGCCCTGCCCATCCCCAGGGGGAAGGGGCAGGGGGAACCGGCATCATCTGAACATACGTATACTATAGTACGGCCCCGCAGGGGCGACGCGCACGCTCAGAACCCTCATAGCATAGTTACTCTCTGTGGCGGGCGCTTTCTGGCCATGCAGCTCGGGAGACGTTGTGCTGCAAGATGTCGGTGTCATCCGTTCGTGTCGGACGCGTACCCCCTCACAAGCACACCGCATTGGCACGTCCCTCTGCTTCCCAGGGGGAGGGTAGCAGAGGCCACCACCTCGAGGCGGTGGGCTACCCTCGCGCCCCCTTGCCCAAAGAATATGAAGCACGCCGCAAAACAAGAAGACGCTGCACACTGCCAGTCCCTCGGCAAACGGGCACGTACGGTGGGGGCGTCCGTTGAGGAATGTGCCCAGGAGGCCTTAGACCATGGAGGATTCCTTATCTGATGAGGGCGGCGGTGGCATCCATGGCCAGAATTCCACCAGCCTCCAGACCCTGGAGTCCTTGTCTCATGGCTCCTTAGCCGATGCCCCTCACCGTGCCGCGCAGATTCTCCTCTCCCCACCTGGCAGCGCCACACTGTCGGGGCTGCTGGGTCCGTTCCTCTCTCTCTCCTCCCTGCCTCTGCCTACTGCGCGTCTTGCTCCCCGTCCGCCGCCTTTCTCCCGCGCCATCTCCTCCTCCTCCTCCTCATCCTCCTCCTCCTCTTCCTCTCTCGACGCTCTGTCCCCTCCTCCTCCTCCTCCTCCTCCTCCTCCTCCTCCTCCTCCTTCTCCTCGCACCCCCAGACATGTGGCGCCGTGCCTCTTTGTCAAAACGTGCAGCTGGACCTCTTCCCAGCGAGGCCAGTTCTGCGTCCTTTGAGTCGGGTTTCGACTGTCCTGGGGCCTAGTGAGGGCCACATGCGGGAGAGAGGCCAAAAATTGCCGAGATTTGTCCGTCGTGAATTGTTCAACTATGCGTGGGGGCGGTACGCGCTGAGGCTCCGCCTGGCGGTGCCGTAGTTGGGCCGCGGTGCGTCGTTCCCTCTCTCTCCCCACCCCCTTTGCGATCCCCCCTCTCCTCCGCCGCCCGCAGGCCGGACCCTTGAGTCACAGTCGTTTCGTTTCCTGGACCAGGGCCGCCGCACAGAGTGGGACGTTCCGGGGAAGCGATGATGATGGTGATGATGACGATGATGTGATGTTGATGATGTTGATGATGATATTGATGGTGATGGTGACGGTGATGGTCATGAAGAAGATGATGAGGAGGATGATGGTGATGATGGTGATGGTGATGATGTTGATGGTGACGTTGATGGTGATGATGGTGGTGACGTTGATGGCAATGTTGATGGTGATGGTGATGGTGATGGTGATGGTGATGGTGATGGTGATGGTAGTGGTGATGGTGATGGTGATAGTGCTGGTGATGGTTTTGCGGATGGTATTGATAAGGTGATGATGCTGATGATGGTGAGTATGGTGATGATTATGATGGTGATGTGGAAGTAGATGTCGATGCTGATGTCGATGATGGTGATGATGATGATGATAACGATGATGACGATGATGATCGAGATGATGGTAATAACGGTGATGATGGGTGATGACGGTGAATCTGATGACGACGATGGTGATGATGATGGTGACCAGGCTGACGAAGTTTGGTATGACGATGGTTATGATGATTGAAGTAATGGTGGTGATGATGATCGTGGTGATGGTGATGATGATCATGATGACCATGCTGACGATTTTGATGATGCTGCCTGTGATGGTGATGATGATGATGCTGGTGCTGATGATGATGATGATGATGATGATGATGATCGTGATCGTGATGGTGATGGTGCTGATGATGATGATGATGACGATGAGTGTGATGATGACGATGTTTGTGATGGTGGCTGTGATATTGGCTCCCATGTTGACGATGATGGTGATGATGATGACGATGATCATGATGATGCTGCTGATGATGATGATGATGATGAGGGCGATAACGATGATACTGCTGATGATGATGGTGATGCTGATGTTGAAATAAATATGCTCCTCTTCGCCTCATCTTAATACTGCTTGTCATATTGCTTGCCTCGCTGCGCACTGTATGATTGTAACTGCGGTACTATCCCGCAGCTGTTTGTGCTCGAAGGTGAAAAAGGAGCGCGCCGCTGTGCGTCCGCGCGCGGGCGTCGGCCAGCCGGCCTCCTCTCTTACCATACCTAGAGTACATTTGCTTACGGGTTATATGTCTTATCGATGTCTCATCCCACACCCTCTACCACTGAGCAGAGTGAACGTGAGACCTTACTTCCTTTGTCATCTTGCCCCGATTCTCAGAGGAAGACTGGCGACATAGTCGCTACGGGTATGAGCTATGATGAGACAGATGAAATGTCCGTCACTTCGCGAAATGATGAACAGCAAGTTGTACAACGCGACGGACAGGAACTACAGGAGAGCGGCCCGGGGCAGGGCCGCCTTCCTTCCTCTAGTATCGCCACTCGGGTCTCACGGGGAAGAAGTAGTGGAGAGGTCGTTGACTTGTCGGAAGATGATTCTCCCTCTCGAGCTCCGATCGGTGATCGCGAACAAACCCCAGACCCGCAGAGACGGAATGGCATAACAGCAAGAACTAGACGAGGAGCATTCTCGT